TCTTAGGCATGGCTGCAACTTAATTTTGGCTATTAGAGAAGTTTTCCAGCATTTCAAAAGCTATAGGATGTTGTATCCAAATCTCGCATTTGGCTGACAAAATAAAGTGAAAGAAGTCAACGATACCTGCAAATCATGGAAGCAGTACAGCATGGAAGGTGAGCAATGCTATATACTGTAATTTCACCCTGACTCAGCCTGAGTCCATGAGTTAGGTGAAGAGATCTCAGGTTAACTTTGTCCAGGTTGGCCTTAAAGCTGATCCTCTGACTTCTGCCTCTGGAGAAGCTGGGATTACAGTCATGGACCACCACACCTGGAAATTCCTATAAAGTTTCAAAGCAGTGCCACCATAAAGTGCATTTTGTGTTTTGACAGTGAGCAAGTAGAAGTTCTTCCCATGTAGCACTAAATTTAGGCTGTGGACTGGCGTGGGGCCTACTGCAGAGGACACTATATACCTGATAACTTCAGGGAGAGACATATACCATACAGTTTCACAATGAGAAGTAGGCAAGGCATATTCTCTGCAGATGAGGTCTCTACAGTATGTGCAGGCATAATGAAACTTCTGGAGGTAGAAGTTTTGCTATAATTTTGTAATTTTAAAATCTCCTATTGATGATATAATTTGGATCTAGAAAGACCCAAAAGCCCACTTGTTAAAGGTTTGGTCCACAGGGTGACAGTACTGGAAAGTGTTTGAACTTTCAGAAAGTAGGGTCTTGTGACACATCTTAGGTCATTGAGGATATGCCCCTGAAGGGGACTGTGAGACTCTGGCTCCTTCTTTCCCATTGCTCCCCTTCACAAAGTGAGCAATTTTGCTTTGCTACATACTTGCTGTCTTGATGTGCTACCTAGCCACAGGCCTCCAAAAATGGAGTAAATCAATTACAGAGTAGACCCTCCAAAACACTGAGTCTAAATAAACCTTTCCTCTTACGAAGCTGATTAGCTCACGTATTTCATTGCAGTGATGGAAAACTAACACAACTGGTGATATTCAAGAGACTTTAAGTAGGTAGAAGCACAGGGAGATAGATGGGTAGAGACATACATTCATTCATGTTATATACACATAAAGGGACAGAGAGACAGAGAGGAAGTGGTAAGGAAGCAGACTGAAAGAAATAGCTGATTTCAGAGAAAAAGCAAGCATATTTGCCATTCCTTTGTGTCTTGTATCAGAAAAGCCTGGAATGTCAAGAGGTCAAAGTTATCAGCACTGCCATTGTACACTCTCCCCCAGAATATAAGCTTGTCCAGAACTTAGGGAAAGAACTTAAGTGGTGGATCATTTTAGGTTGGCTGGACAGACAAACTGCCTTGAAAATGACATGCAGAGTTGGTAACAGGGATACCAGGGGCAAAAACTTACAAACTCCACTCTGCCAAAACATGCTTCTGAGTAGGGATATTGGACAATAAAACACCAAAAATAAACCTGATGTTCTAGAACCTGCACTGAGAGCGTTAGATTATCAGGGAGCTGGTATAATGCTGACTGCGTTCATTTCTAATTGTACTGCAATAGGATTCTGTGCCTGAGGGTGAGAACAGCTAGAAAGAGAAGTATGAATCAGATTATGGGCAGCTCTTTATAAAGTGCAGGTTGCTTAAAATTTTGGTGCTACCTGCACAATTATATCAAAACTCGACATTGCTGTTGATGCCACAATGAGACTCCTGAGCTGGAGAAGTTTAATGCTGCCCACTCCTGTCTTTTACCTGGTTGCAGCTCAGTCTGTATGCCTGGATTCCCCAGGGTCAGGTGTCATCAAAATGCAAACACAGATACTCTGCCACCTGGTCTGGGCTTACTGCTTCATTCTCCATCTGTCACAAAATGACATCAGAATGAAAAGAAGAGGGATTTGTGGAGAAGGCACTGGAACCAAGGAGATGGAACAAAATGGACAGTAGTAATTATGAATTCTACTCTAAGGCTGGCCTTTCGAGGCAGACTACAGAAACAGGAAAGAAACTGAAAAAAAAAGAAAAAAGGAAAGAAAAGAGGGCAGGCATGGTAGCTCACAGCTGCAACCTCAGCTACTTAGGAGGAGATTTACAGGAACGTGTTTGGAGTAAGCCCAGGCAAAAAGCTGGTGACATCCTATCTCAACCAATAAGCGAGTGTCACTGAAGGTACAAGTAGAGATGTCATGGTCCGAGGCTGACCATGGGCAAAAATGCCAGGCCCTACTTAAGAAATTAACTAAAGCAAAAAAAGACAAGAGTACGTGGCTCAAGTGGTAGAGTGCCTGCCTTGTAAGTGTGAGACCCTGTGTTCAAACTCAAGTAAACCATACCCCCCCCCAAAACAAAGAAAAGAAAAAGCACGGAACTGAAATTTCAGGTATTCAACTTGGAATACTACTATTCTGCTGTTATTTTACTTTTTCAGGAGAATTCTAGCTCCATGTGTAGGAAGAGAAGGTAGAACTCCGCTTAGCACTAACCAGT